TTAATAACTACTTTGTATTCAATTTTTTGCTTAATCACAGAAAATAATTAACTCACTCAACTTGTTTTTAGTGTATTTGTTTTACTTGAAAGAAGTACATAGAAGTAAGATCAAGAATGATTCGAGTAATTATTCAGAAATCGTGAGATGCGGTCTGGTGTGATGTAGGTTTCAGAAAAAACATTTTCTTTATCGTGCCAACGTTTCGATCTTTATTGAGATCATCTTCAGGGCCTGGGATTTACAAACATTGTTTACATTTAACAAATGCATTAGGATGTGGAAAAATGAATTTATACAATACAAAATATATTTTTTATATTCAATCAAAGTATTTCTACTCACTCAAAGTGTTTGTCTTCTGTGTAATTATGCCATTCTTGCGTGTCGTGTTGAGAGTGCCAGTGAGATATTGCTGTTTTATGTTTAAATATGTTGGATTTTGAAGGGGAGGGGAAGGAAAACGGTATAGAAAATACATTTTTGTATAAGGTGCCATCTTCTTTGAGTAATATTCACATTGTGAAATAATATAAAAAAATAAGAAGGAAAACAGAAATGAAAAGATGAACATCAATAATTGTGCATTATGTCATTTTTTTAATACTAAAAACTAACAATGTTCTACTATCGTAGTTTTCCTCAAAGTTAAACTGTTCTCTTCTTAAAAAACCTTTATCACAAGGCCTATTAGAATATTAAGCCTCACAAAATCTCATAAAAGCTCTAAAACCGTATCCTTTACTATGGTCAATATTGTCATTTAATTGTGTAAAATAAATACAGGGTGTCGTGATGGGTTTAAGTTACTTCAACCTTTCACAACTTTATTCCATAAAGTCCCCGGTATCTCATAAAATGTTAATCCTATTGTAAATGTGATTAGACCAATGAAAAGAGCGAACCCTATTAGATTATCAGTTATATCTGTCATCATTTACTATTTACAGAACAAAGAAAATCTTTCTTAAAATTTAGACAAGAACTTGGGAAACTCGTAAAAATGCATATTCTAAGTGATTTTTCATTTTGTCAGCTTAAGGTTACAATATTCGCACAAAAATTCTCCCAGGTTTTCCAACGCTCTTTCCATTGGTATCATCAAATTTGCAGAAAGATTAACATTTTATTAAATACCGGGTACTTTATAGAATCAATTTTTGAAAAGCTGAAGTAACATGAAACTTGAAATAAGTATCTGAAATTCAATTGAGAATCAGACATTTGACAATATGGACATTTTACATACATTATTGACGTTTGTTCATGGTACACCCTGTATAACGGCTACATCTGTATATAATCCAAAATCAGTTTAAATCTAAATTTTAATAATAAAGTTTAATGGTTATTGTTAATAAGGCTTAAAAAGTAAAGACATTTTTTTCTGCTCAACTTATGTTTCAGACTGATGCGTTTCTTTGCAAAAATTCGGAATATTTTATTTATTCTAACTTGATTTTCTCAAAACTAAATTCAAATTACAAAATCAGTTATTTTTTACACGTTCTAGCGTATCGAATATAGGAATTTAATTGTATAATTAAAACACAATTACGAAGTTTTTAAATGCGATTATATGGACGTATTTTCTTCTCATTTTTAATTACATGCATGAATCAATAAGCATTGTTTCGTGCAAATAAGAATTAAATATATTTTGCATATCGAACAAAGAACCGGTTTTTAAATAGACTATCAACATTGTAACAATAGGCCGTTTTACCTACCAAGGTACTAAAATTTGCAGTTGTATTTAAAATAAAACTTGATTGCGAAATCTTCGCCATTATAAATTGTTTTAAACAATTAAATGGGTCAAATACTAAAGCATTGTTTTTTTGTGATTCTGAACTATGTAGGAAAGAGTAATCGAGACACGTTTCTTGTTCCAGTGGATTGACAAAATAGCCATGCCATGGACAGGTTATTTTTGTTATTTTCTTAATTTTATATTACTGGAACAAAATAAATATTTTCGTGATACTTTGTGAACGAGAACGTTGTTTTCTAATCGAAAAAATGTTTACATTGGTAAAGCATAAACTTCTCTAAAACATTGCGCTTTGAATTCACGTTATTTCATCCATGTACCAGCAATGGAAAATAAATTCACAAGTACACGGACATAAAGCACATTATATACTTTTTTGATGCTTCGTGATTTTTAAGAATATACGCACAAAAAATTGAAAGCTATAATTTAAATAAAACCAAAAAATTAATGTACGATTCGTTTATTTTCAAAAAGTTTGTTTAAAATAATCAATAATAAATAAGGAATAAGTTTTAAGCAAATTAAATATTTTCATTTGACAGATTATTTATAGTGGAAGGGAGAAAAATAAAGTCAAACAAAAATAAGTAGGTGAAAGTGTTTTTCCAACAAATGAACAAAAATTGATGAACAAAAAAACCGGCAAGGATTTAAATTAAGGAAGATGAATAAAGTACAACAAAATTGGTTTTGTCAAATCGTTTTTCCCAATGATTAACGTTAAAAGAAAAACTCTTTTCTCGCTTCAATGATTTTTCGGGTGGGAAAGACAAAACAATACAAATAATTTAATCGAGTTTTCATGTGATAACTGGCTTTATGCCGGTTGATTTCTGAAATAATTTAACTAAAATATTTAAACTAATTGTAAATAGTCCGTTTATGAAAGATTGTTTAAGAAAGAATTACGAAAGAAATGTCCGTTAAGAAAAACATCTGGTCTGACTTGAATCTCTTAAAAATTAAATTATTCAGAAATCGTGAGATGCGGTCTGATGTGATATAGGTTTCAGAAAAACATTTTCTTTATTCCTCGAGGGCACTCTCAACACGGCACGCAAGAATGGCACAATTACACAGAAGACAAACACTTTGAGCCCAGAAGATGATCTCAATAAAGATCGAAACGTTGGCACGATAAAGAAAATGTTTTTCTGAAACCTACATCACACCAGACCGCATCTCACGATTTCTGAACAATTATCGATTAACGGACACTAATTACCACACATTAAAAATTAAAGATTATCGGTAAAATTTTCAGCGTGATTAAAAAAATAAAAAAATACACCTGAATATATTCAAATGCTCAAAGAATTCTTACCCAAAATACAGACGATAATTTTAAAATTATTCCTATTTTCTTCCTATGTTTCTTATGTGTTTGTGTGGATTTTTAATTTTTTTTAATATGATTTTTGGCGCTTTTTAGTCACAACAAGAAAATGAGATAACAGACATACGGCCAATCTAGCATGTTACACATTACAGAAGTCACCCAGCAGTGACGCTCCCTCGCATTGAATCAATCAATCTCTCAAGAGATCTTTCGGCCAAAGCCGCTCAAATGATTGCATTACGGATATTCTCTGTTTATTATATAATTTTTTCAAGTGTCTTTCCTAGCCTACTCTGATGCCTTATGTCCCAACTAAGCTTTGAGCGATAGCTAAAACATACGAAATCACACTAGGTAAATATTTGAAGTGTTTTAAATTTTTTTACGACATAATTTAAAAATAGAGCGTGGCCAAACTTTTTCTCTGCCAGCATTAACATCTTACTCTTGCAGTACTCGCCCAAAAATAATCGAGAATAATTACAAATAATCCAAAGTGATGATATTTGCTTATTAAAACATAATTTTGGTATTTAAATATTTAATGTAACAAATAATGCTAAAATAGTCTATTAAAAAAATTAACAAATTGTCATCATGAAGATCAAGACCAAGACGTAAATATTGTAAATCTAGTAGTTTTCTTTTGCAACTGAGAGACCGACATTACATGACATCGTAAAAATAAATCATGCATGAATAAGGCAGATAAGCTATCATTCCTTTCCGCGGCTGAGGTATTTTACAAAAAAAAATGCACCAGGTGAAATAGTCAAAACCAAAACTAATTATGAATTTAAGTAAATAAAGGGGGACCGCGGTAGCCGAGTGGTTAGCATGAGAGACTCTCACGCCGCGGTCGTGGGTTCGATTCCCACCGTTGCCCCTGGCCCTTTTTTCCCAATAACCCCCCAAATTTGAACACACATATACGTTGTCACATGGCTAATATGCATAGTTCATAACGCNTCTATCTATATATATATATATATCTCCCTCCCTCTCTCCCTCTCTCCGTCACCCTCTCCATCTCCCTCTCTCCGTCACCCTCTCCCTATCTATCTATGTATGTACCTATCTATCTACCTATCTCTATTTATTTATCTATCTCTTTCCTATTTCTGTTTCTCTCTCTCTCTCTCTCTCTCTCTCTCTCTCTCTCTCTCTCTCTCTCTCTCTCTCTCTCTCTCTCTCTCTCTGATTTATTTATATCATTCTCTCACTCTCTCCCTTTTTCTCTCTCTCACACTCTCACCCACACGCGCACACAAAAGCACACACACAAGCACGAAAGTACACTCTATCCCCACATTGTCAATATATTATTAATTCCATTGCCTTTTTAATCAAAGAAATTAACACGTAATTAAAATAGCTAGATTGACAGTTCTGACACGTTATCCTTTATTCTCCCCTGGCACAGATAATCTATTTTATGCGATATACCATTCTAACATTTAGCAGAAATTAAATTAAACAGATCACGTGTCAATTGATTTAATTTGTTAACTGATAAGATTTTAACAAATGGTATTCTTGGCTTCTTCCAATGTTGGTTCTTTGCGTTCAAAATTTTCAGATGGGAAATTAAAACACTGAATTTTCGGTAGGCGGTGATAATAAAAAAAATTTAAAATTTTTAAAAGTTTTTAAAATTTCAAAAACAATAAAAAACCTATCCTGATTAAGAAGGTTTTATAAAGCTTGCCCAATTTATATAAAAATGTTGCTTCTTTTCCTATCTAGAGAAATGTCATGTAAAGTAAATTGAAGGAAAAACTATGAAAACACGAATTGCATGCACCCAGTTGCCAAAATGGCCAAGCTGTTACTGGGTTTATAAACAGGATTACTTTAAACTAGGCATAATAAAATTAAAATTACCCAAATCAGACTGATCGACGTCGAAATCCATGTTGATATTCTCCTCGTTGGTCGGTCCGACGTCGTCGTAGCCAGAGACGACCATTCCACACCTGTAGATGCACCGTCTTTTGCACATGGCGATCGAATCGACGAGATCGGACCAGATTCTGGTGAGGAGATTGCCCACCAAGGCTCGGCTCAGGCGCACGTAGAAACACATTCACGGCCAGCGAGGCATCACCATTGTCGTCTCACACTTTACTGGGACAGACATCGTCAAGGCAGATGCGTGAAGATAGCCCCACCTCTCCAAGTAAATCTTCTTTCCCCCGTTCATTTTGTTTTTCGAGTGTCGTGAAAATGCATAGCATTAAAAGATTAAGATAATAATGAAGAGTTTAAAAAAGGCAAAGAAAAAATAATTCTCTAATTACAACTAGTATCAAGTTAAATGCATTAACGACTAAAGACAGTGAATTTTCATGTATTTCTTAATCGACTATTAAAATAGCAAACCAGACGCATTGCTCGAAATATAGACTGTAATTTTCTAATACTAATTATCCAGTGAATCATAATGAGTTTTTTTAGTGGACATTGAACATAACCACCAAATACTTCAGTCTACAATCTTCACTTCTGCAAAAAATGAATTCAGGGCCAGAGAGGTCATCTCTTCAGAGGAGCCAAGGAAGTTTCATTAATTAGTCGAAATCAGTTTCATTAATTGCTGAGGTGGTTTGGTGTGAAACATAGAGACCCTTCTTAAACTACCAGAGAATTTATCTTCACCAGTTTGGGAATTTCAGCAACAAGAGCCGAATAACTTAGTGAATCACAACTTTGCCATTTTACCAAGCATATATTTCACTTTTACAGCACACATTTCAATTTTCTTGGCACGGAACGAGAAGACATTCCCGAGACGACGGGGTTCTCAACAGCAAGAGGTCGGTCCTCGGGGTGCCGGTGTTGTTGGAAATAAGTGAGTTGTAAGTATTCGAACCCTGGACCTTTACCTCACAGTGATGAGCGCCGTGTCGACGGATTATAACCGTTGAGGCCACCGACGCCCCCTTTTTTTGTTGGTGCACTTTTTCATTTGATAAAACGAAAATCAGTGGTCTTTTAGGAGAATTTTACACACGTTAATCCCACTCGTTGCCCTGCTGAGAACATAGTTTTTGTTGAACAGAACCATCTTCAGCTCTTTAGAACCATTCAAGTACCTCGTAATTGAATATTGGCTTAGAACAACAAACAACCATGTTCGCCATTGATTTTATGTTACCGGGGTGTGTGCATGGGTCAGATCGGGTTAGGTTAGAGGTTGGGTTAGATTAGGTTAGGTTGGGTCACATCAGATTAGAATAGTTAGATAGGAATAGAGTTAGGTTAGGTAAAGTAAGGTAGGGTTTGGCTACATATCCATAATTTTTATTTGTTTTTGTGACGAAAATAAATGAGTGTGAAGCACAGATTTATTTAAATGTTCACTCTGTACAACACTAGTTTTTAAAAAATACAGTTTGATGGGTAATACATGGACTGTGTTGTTAGTAAACAATAATGTCTGATATAAAGTAAAATTATAATAGAAACAATTTTTTTTTTAAGTAAGGCTAGACGGTCAATAATGGACAAAACAACTAAAATTAATACAAAGAAAGCAAGAAATAATATTATCAGCTATGTATAATCAATAATTACATAATCTTACAATACTACACTTAACAATTTAACACATATAAAACAAAAAAATTACTTTCCAGTGTATACAAATTGTAATTAAGCAATTGAGTTCCATTGTAATAATGGTATGAGAATGGTTTTGGTCAGATAAGATAAAACAGAAAATTATGTGTAGTTTTAATCTTTGTTTATAGAATTTTTTTCTGCAAGCTGTATTATCTCAGAGTTTAAGTGATGTACAGAAAAAACCAAGATTACCGGATTGAACAATTGAGTGACGAGATTTACAAGATTTTTGTAAACCTTAATAACATAAATAAATAACTGAACCGGAATACTGGGAGTGTGTACATGGCAAAATTCACCAGACACAAAATAATAGGGCATTTGAATTTGTCTGAAAAGGAATGTTGCAACTATCGTAACTTCCTAATCAGGAAAGGGATAGTTTAGGCGACAACAATCGCAACAAAGGTTCAGTTTATCAAATGTGTAACATTCAATTTACAAATGTTTACAACTGGGTTTTTAAATAATTCAAATACAAATATCGAGGTTTTATAAGAATATGTAAGAAATTCTGGTTTTGTCAATGCAATGTGCATTTAATAATCATAATTGACCCTATTAATTATTTCATTTAATCATACTTTTAATCTAGGGTCTTGGTTGAGACAAAAAGCAAATGTTACGAGTCTGTCAGTGTAGCTTAAGTGGTTACAGAAGTAGTGTATTGAGCCAAAGATCATGGTTCAAATCCCGTTTGTGACACACGCTTTTTTTTCTCAACCAAGGCCTTAGACTAAAAGTATAATTAATTATTAACTTTACTTCAGCACAAACTGTAAAAATAATTTGGCCATTAAGGGGCATTGGTGGCCGCAACAATTTAAATGTTGACAAGGGGCTCATCACCATAAGGTAAAGGTCCCGGGTTCAAATCCAGCGCCCCTGCATTCAAACCCAACATATTACAAATGGGCTCTTTTTCAAAAACACTGCATCCTGAGGGTTCATATAACCTTGTAGTTGAAATACCCCCATCATTAATGAGATTTATAAATCCTGTGTGAATATATTTGCAAAATTGATTTAATTGACTCTTATCTGAAAAACTATTTCAAAGCATTAGATATTAAGTGCATAATAATAATGAGAAAGTCAGGAACTAATTCATTTGTTCGTGTTATTAAAAAATATATTCTCTATCAAATAAATGATAAAAAGTTACCTTTTTTAATATACTGTAGAAAGTCAATAATAAAACATTAAAAAAAACCACCAAACCTTCTTACAAAAAGATATTTTACATTTATATTAAAAGGATACAGGTCATACTGACTTTTTAATACAGCCGGTTTAGTTATTTCCAGTCCAATTCACTAATAAATTTCTTTAATATTAAATATATTATGGGATCAGGCAAAAAATAAATTAAATTAAACAATTATAATAATCGATAAAACTTTATTTTTACAAAAATTAATTCTTCATATTTACATTATCTTATATTAGCATACAAGCAGTAAACAAAACAAGTTTGTGGAGTTAAAACAGTTAAAATTGTATTAAAAAGCAAAAAACAAAGATCATCAAATATTATTATTGTTATCATTGATTCATTAAATTAGTTAATACTTTTCAAGAGTAGTTATTAACTGTTCTGCTATTTTAAATCGTGTTTCACCCGGACTCACGTTGACACAATCATAAATCAACCAGAAGATATCAGCTGGTGAGTCATAGAGAAATCCTTCCTTAAATATCACAGATGAGGTGAATAAAATTTCCTACAATAAATAAGAATATTAATTGATATGGAAATTCTCTTAAAAAATGTGATCAAAACTTCTTTACTTACACGACAAACTGAAAGTATATTTTGGTCCGATAAATGATGTGAGCAAATTTCTGAGGGACGGAATAAAAAACAATCCTGACAATTGTAATGGGACGCTGAGTAAGTAATATTCCAGTTAGGATAATGGCCTGTAAAGAAAATTGATTTTGATAAGTCATAAATAGAACGGTAAAACGTGAAGATTTTCTTACTCGTATCTTTCGGATATTTATCGACGACGTAAATATGCTCAAGATCAACTAAACAGACATTTTCATTAGAGTCAACTGCAATATTGTCGGGTGAAAAGTCGGTAAAATAAAATGCATATTTGGCATGCCTGAATGTGAACATCATAGCCATTCTGAGCAATTTCGCAGAGATCCTTGCCCTCTGGTTGTAACTTTTGTCATAGTAGTCTGATAACATGTCCCCACAGTCTTCTACAACGATAAGTGAGCCACAGGCACCATAATACTTTGGTACAGGCCACATGGGGGGTTGAAGCATCTGGAATGTATATTAAAAATTTAATTTTTAATTTAAAAATTTTAATGTTACAATATGTAATATATCTGTTGCCCTATTACCTGAAGCATTGCAGCTTCTGGGTTGACTTCAAGAGAGGTCCATATTGAAATCAATTGTTTAAAGTCTTGTGTTTTTCTGATCTCCCCGAGGAGATCTCGTACTTCAGTTTCTTGTGGGCATAGTATCAATTTTTGATCAATCTGCCTCACAGATTTATCTATCTTATCTATGAGCATATCCACACTTACTTTAGGATCCCCTAGTAAGTTCTCAGCTTTCTTGTGCAGCTTACTAAATTCCTCAGGGTCGGCCATTTTCTTCACAAAGACATTTTTACCATCCATATGACCTCGTAGGGTGATTTTCCCTCTGCCTAGCATGGAAATCCAATTCCACGGTACGTTAGAGATTGTAATTTGGGGGCTCCTGTTGCATAGGTCATCGCCGAAAATCACCGGACTGAAATTCAGATCGGCAAACGTTTCAATGTTGGGGTAAAACAAATTCATGTACATCGCGAAAACCGTGTTCCCGTAGAGGATCACAGTCGCACGAATTATGTAGTAAAAGAGGGAGGCAAACATAGAAAATTGTGTTAAAAGCATGATTCGGATTCACTCAAACCTGGAAGAAGCAACAAGTATTCAAAGCTGGAGAATTCATGTTGAAACGTGACCGGCTCAAGAAACTCAGCATTTCGTTGCATGTTGACAGCACAAGTTCCCATTGTTTTCGTTCTTATCAGAATGAGATAAATACCTCGGATGTGTGGGGAGTGGATTTCATTCCCGCCTTTCGCCCATGCTTGGTTCAAACCATGAAACACGCCGATGCACAACATGAACAACATAAGTTCTCACAAAATGCTTAGGTAAGTTTAAGCTTTTCTTGAAGACACTGCTCACTCCTGAGGAGTTTAAATCATTCTCACATTGTAGATTTTTCATATCAAATTCACTAGTTTCGTGGTCCGCTTGACCAATTGATATCATACAATTAAGATTTTTAGTTGAGAGTTGGTGTCCGAGTGGATCGAGGTCACGATAGTTCAAGTGGTAGAGCAGCGGCGTATCAAGCCGAAGATCGTGGGTTCGAATCCCGTTCGTGCTATTGACTTTTTTTATCTCAATTACAAACCTTAATTAATTGTATTTTTCATATCTATGATCCCACTAGTCATTCCCAAGGGATCTTAGAAGACCTGGAAGATATTCCAAGACGATAATGGAGACCTCAAAAATTAGAAAAACCACTGGTTGTACCTGATCTACTTCTTAGGTCTTGAATATATTAATCAGAAGATTAAAAAACATGAACTCAAACATTCCAACTGATATCATCAATCTTGATATCTCCAGGACATTTGATCATATGCCTCACAGACTATTAATTTACACACTAGAGGGTTTTGGTATCCACAGTTCTTTCCAAATTGCTCTTTGACATGAATTTTTAAGTCAAGATTAATCAAGCATATTCTGATTCCTATCAAATGCACAGCGAAGTTCCGCAAGGGTAAGTCCTGGGTCCAATTATATTCATTCTTTATACCAGTGATATAAATGACAAAATCACGTGAAATCACTACTTTTTCAGATGATGCCTAGTTGTTAAAAATTCCTTGACTACATTCACTGAAGTGCAAATGAGCATTGATAAAATGTCTGACTACTTTGGGGTGTTAATATTTAGGTTGGTGATGATATAAAAAAGTACATTCTCCTGAAATACTTTCAAAAAAATTGTTACCTATGTTCGACTTATAGTAATTTGCAATTAGTATTTGGAGCTCCTACTTTCAAAGATGTTTAGAAAGGTACAAAGAACCTGTAGAAAAGGTTCAAAGATGTTTTACCAAAACCTCCAAAAAAATTAATTAAACTTTTCCTAAATTTAAAAACTCTTCAAGATAGAAAGGCAAAAATCTTGTCAAAACCTATAAAATTCTTACAAATAAATATGACCCTTCGCCTCTATTTTTCTTTTTTCAGTATTAGAAATAGCATCCACTTTTTCACTTATGAACACTCTGGATCAAGTTATGGTGTTGAAGAATAAAATAAATTTAGTTGCCATTGCCAAGCTTTCGACCTATTTTAAGGTCATCATCAGGGCAAAACAGCCTTAAATATGTCTGCAGATTTAGTCCAACATTGCTAAGGTCTGTGCATCCTAGTGTTGCTAAAGCTTAGCTCCTGGTGCAGGAAAACCAGACAGTCTCAAAAGCTCTTACAGGGCAAAACAGACACACTAGCTCAACATGCTAGCATATGAAATCTTACAGCAATGGTCCAGTAAAGAAAAAACAGAAATTTAATTTCCAACAGTAACATGCATAAACTAAAAATCAACATGTAAGTCCACCACTGGTTATGGTAAAATCGATCTTATCCAACATGATTTAATTCCAAACATGCTGACCTGAAGACCTCTCTGTATTCTCCTATTTTACCATTAATTTTATTCAAAGTTTTATTATGGATTTAAGTCTACCTTAAAGGAAAAACATTCAGTTGGTAATGTAAAAATATCTACTGAATGAACTGACAGGAAAATCAATGAGGCAGACAGCAAAAGTCGATATTGTGTTTTACTAAAATCAAGTAGCACTTTACACTGAAAAGTACAATAATCTGGTAATCTTCACTTTTACATGCTTGACATTAATCCTGAATTGTCAAAGGCATACATTTTAGATAGACACATGCATAGATAAAACTCATTTATTTTCCAATACAAAAGTCTTTAAATATAACTTCTAATATATCCTCTGTTGTCACATGCCCTGTTATTTTGCCTAGGCTGTACAGCGCATTTCTTATTTCCTGAGCTGCCAGATCAACTTCACTGATCGAGTAATTAGAAAATTTTTCAAGCGCGTCTAAACACTCCTGTAAACAAAATCTGTGCCTAGCTTGGGTGAAAGTCGGGCTGAGTCTGTTCGGAGAGCCACATCTGAAATGCAACACAATTTTTAGAAAAATATTACCTTTTTTATAAAACCAAATGCTTACAGGCTTTCAAGATTCTTTGATAACCCTTTTATCAGTTTTTGCAGCCCGGTTTTATTCTTGCATGATATTCCACATATAAACTTAAGTTTTGATAAAGCAGCCTCTTCTTCAGTGATCAAGTCAATTTTATTAACAATTATCATTACTTGTTTGTTCTGACTAGATACTATTTCATCTTTATTAATACTAAGGTAGGATTTTATATCTTCAAAGATATTTAAACTATCTATATAATAATATAAAGAGTCGGCATTTGGTGTAAGGTTATCTTTCCTTAGCCACGACAGCAGTTCTTTCCCATCTAAAACTAAAATAAGGAGATCGGATTGCTCAGCTGCTCTCTTTGCTCTCGCCATCCCTTCAACTTCAATAAGGTCTTCAGTAAAACCTCTTAAACCAGCAGTATCATTTATGTTTACTGGATAACCATTTATATCTATATTTGTTTTGATCAAATCCCTTGTAGTTCCTGGAATCGGGCTAACTATAGCAGTTGGTTGTCTGCCTTGAAGCATATAATTTAAAATTATTATTTTTATTAAAATGATTGTTATAATGACATACTTAAAATATTAAGTAGACTGCTTTTTCCAACATTTGGAGCCCCAATAATTGTTACACTGACACCGCTTCTAAGCCTTTCTCCTTTTCTTCCATCTTGTAAATGGTTCTGCAAAGATTGATATGATTTTTTTTTTTTTTTTTAAATTTGTAATGGTTAAAACATTAGTTTTATATTTCAGGAAGTATAAAAAATGATAATTTTATTTACCTTAATAGAAGTTTTAAGATCATTTAATTTTTTATCAGTATCCGCCATTAATGTGTTTTCAAGATTTTGGTCTTCATCAAAATCAATATAAGCCTCTAAATTGGCTAAGCACTGAAAATTAAATTTAAAACAATAGAAAATTTGTTGTATATAATGAATGTAATGTAAAATTTCATATTACCTTGGTTAATGTTTTGGTCCAATCATTGTACAAATCAAAAAGTGCTCCTTCCATTTGGATTATTGCCTGCTTTCTTTGATTTTCCGTTTCAGCATTGATTAAATCGGCCAAACCTTCGACAGACGTCAGGTCCAATTTGCCCGAGTAAAACGCCCTTTTTGTAAATTCACCTGAAGCATACAAAAATTAGCTAGAGGATTGCAGAAAATTGCCAAACACTGACCCTGTTCTGCCGGGCGAAGGCCGTTGATTTTCCCTAAAGCATCAAGAACGGAGGATATCACAGCAGGGCCTCCATGGACTTGAAATTCGCAGCAATCTTCCCCAGTGAAACTCTTGGGACCTGTAATAATAATAAAAAATCACCTAGAAAACAATCTTACATATGAACATGTACATACCAGGAAACCAGAGAAGGATCCCATTATCCAAAACGTCATTCGTCAAAGGATGACGGAACTTGCGAAGCGAAGCGTATCTCGGTTTTGGAAGACTGCCTCCAAGTTTTTCAGCTGCTGTTTTAGCCTCTGGGCCAGACACTCTGATAACAGCCACACCACTTTTTCCAAATCCTTAATTTACAATTCAGAAGTTTCATTCATCTTTGAATAAGCGCTAATGTGGGAATGCAAGTCAATAGTCCTTTATTTTCTTTTGTTTGTCTTTCCACAAGAAAAGGACTATAATACAAGGGTTAATTGGTCGGATACTAATTTAACTGAATTTATTCTTTTTTGCTACAATTGTATATTGTATTACATTTGTACTACAATTGTATTGCATTGTATATTTTATACCTAATTATTGATAATATAATAATTATAGATAATTATTGATATTATGATCAAATCAATGTAAAACATACTTTTTCATCACCCAATATTGAAATCACTGTTTCTTGCATATACCCTCAGAGGCAAAAACTGAACATTCGTATTTGGTTGTTTATTTCAAACTATATGTATTTTTATCACTTTATTAATTACAACATACTTATTTCAAGTGGTTAATGTAATTAAACAACAACCAAATTAAATCAAATCAAAAATTCTTAAGTTTTAGTTTAAAAAATTATTATAATCGAATTTGCAAGAAAATTCACCAAAACACCAGAAAATCATTTACTGATAAATTAAAATTTAACTAACAATTTAGTACCTAGATTTGCTTTTAATAGCACATATACCTCCTCTGATCTCATGAAAGACTTAAGTCTCCTATGCACTGAATAAATAAATGATCAGATAAAAATCCCAGAACATAATCCCATTCTTCAAGAAGAGCGGTTTGAAGCTGTTCAAAGCTTGTTGGAATGGTGAACGATGTCACCTAACCCGTCTTTTTATCAAGTCCCATAAGTGCTCGATGGGATTCAGGTGAATGTGTGGTAGCCATTGTAGTATTCCCTACATCCTCCGAGTGATGGGGTCACAACTTGAGCTTCATGGCCTAGCATTACCCTACATTACAATAGCACAAAGTTGCTCCCCATAAATGGAGTGAATGGGATCACAGCTTCCAGAACTTCGTCAATACACTTAGTGAAGTTAAAGATCGATTCTGGATGATAATCAATTCGGGATGGGCATGGATGTTGATTCCACCCCATACCATTACTGCCTGTCTTTGAAAACGCTGTGACTTATGCAGGCACATAAAGCAAAGTATTCTCCACATCTCCTCCAAATAAGGTCCCAGACATCTGAATGCCATAAACCAAGCTGGCACTCATTACAAAGAGAACAACTACCCCATTGTTCAAGTGCCCAAGCCAGAAGCTGATTTATGAATTGCATTTTTGCTCAATGCCTCTCTAGTAATAGAGAACCTGATGCGGACAGTCTAGAGACTAGGCTATTCTCATGATGCCTTCTGATTACTTTTAAACCTCACCGTTTGGAGTTGGCTGTATCAGGAAAGCTATGAGATAGTGGTTCCTTAGTGTGGTAAGAGCAATAAAACAATTGTTTCTAGCCATTGTACAATGCACTCGAATACTACCTTTTCTTTGATCAAGACCTACAACCCTGTAGACCATCATGGATGGTACAGCGCATCACTTATAGTCTTGGCTATGTAATGGACGCATTGTTGTTGGCCAAAGCATCTGCCTGGGAGAGATCTTCTCCGCTTAAAACCATGCTTTTAAGAAAAAAAAAATTTACTCAAATTTATTGTATCAACAAATAAAACAATTTAAAAAAAAAATCGATTTTCTTTATTTTCAAACTAAAGAGTGTAAAAGGATTAGTAACACTCTTTGAAGGTAAACAGCAAGTTATTAATGTTTACCAGTCAACCATTATACCTAGTTATTATAGAAAACAAACAAATAAATACAAGTTCCGGTTTTTTTTTCTCTTTGACTTTATAAAAAAAAATTGAAACATTTTATTACCGGATGATAGTGAATAAATGGTGGAAGCAAATCTTCGAAGTATTTTATTATTTTTAAATCCATGAAATGTCCGTAGTACATATTCTGAAGTGAACGATCTAAGAGAAACAAGCATTGGTTTGTTTAGTTTCTTATCTTTTTAATTAGAACGCATTTTTTACATTACCTTTTCGTCTTCTACGGGTCTCAACATGCAGACGTTTCCATGACCATTGAGCATCATCAAAACGTCATCAAAGTACACCAACACTTATGGTTCGACGCAGGAATTTATATTGCTATATTGATGTAAACTATGCTAGTTGCTGTTTGGTAACATAATCAAAGTGCATGTTCTTTTTCCTAAATTATCCATTACTCAATTATAACTGTTACTGAATAACCGTTAAGTTGATGAAAACACTACTTTGTTAAACTAATAATCATTCTTCAAAACATACTGCCTGTTTTCTTCTTTTTTATGTTATGGCAGAAATATTCACCAAATTTTCATCAGGGAAGGAGATTCAAAAAGAAAACTAGCCGTACGAAAACACACAAAAAACACGCCGAACTATTGCAAAAGGCCTTAAACTTAGCAGTGAAAATATAAAACCCTCAAAGATAACAACTGTACAATTAACCAGGAATAAGATGCTTAATTTTAAAGCTCTAACCCTGCAAAACCAAGAAATATAGTAATTCAAAAAAATTACATGCCTAGGACCTTGGCCAAAGGTTAACGCGGAAGCTCACCTTAAAAAACCTACAACTGAGCATTATAGGCACAATGGATATAAAAAAGACAGTGGAAAAACTTGGGGACTAAATCCAAAAATGAACTTACGATCTTTATGATTGTCAGATCCATGATCACTTATGCACGTTACATATAGTGGCCAAAAATAGAACAAAGAAAGAAAGAAGAAATTCTACAAAAAGCCCAAAGAATCGCTTGCCTTAGCACAACCAGAATAGATTTGGGACACAGTAGAAGAAAGAGAGACTTTGGTCACTAGTGAACCCGAGAAGGAGAGAAAATGCTTAGCATCATTGGTGCTATTAATACAACACCCACGGCCGGAATGGAACGTATACTGAAGCGTACTGCGACCCTTATGTAAAAAGGATGGCATCGTTGGAAGAACTGAGAATTCATCAAACGGTAGAATAAAAGCTGTTAACAAGTGCCATACCAAAATCTTCGACAAAGTTAAAATAACGGACATTGCTAAAACCTTCTTCGACATATCGGAGAAAATAAGTACTAAAAAGATTCGATAAATTATTCAAAATAATTCCTGAAAAGAGATCTGATTTGGAAAATAAAGCAAAAGAAGATAAACCTCCAATTTTCGGTATACGGACGGCTCAAAGTTGATACGGGTATGGGGCATAAAGAGGATTGGATCACCATACTATCAACTTTCAAGCCGAACTACTAGCCATAGGAACATGTGCATATGAACTAAATAGTAAACATCTCAAGGGCGCAAGAGCGTTCTTTCAGACGATTTAAGAGACCATTTAAGACCGGAGAAATTTGCGAAAAAGATTAAATTCTTGCATGAAAAATAGTGTACATAAATTTCGCTCAACTTGCTGTGTGTAGTTCATCATCAGAGAATTGTATAAGTTCTATATTTTTAAATGCAAATAATATGTTAATGAATCATTTTGTTGACTTACAACAAATTAAAAATAAAGGATTGAAAGAAGTTAGAAATAAAATTTAACAAAATAATGTATTATAATGTTACAAACTACATATACACACATATAAAACAATACATTGCTAATTTAATATACATGGTAGGTTGTTGAATGATTTTAGTTCATGACTAGTGTTGTGAAAATCAATAATAGTACATTTATTGTTAATTGTGAGGTTTTATTAGATTTTGAAGGTCTGTACATACCAGGTCCAATGTACGGTTTCAAGTCTGTGTTATTGTAATTTTTGTAGTACCATGCAATAGAGTTGTTCTGTTTCGGTTTTTCTGTCGATGGGGTGTGGAAGTCGAAGTTCTGCCTAGGTGGGACTGGGCCTTGGATTTCTTCAGCGACGGGCATCGCACCCGAAGAGGTCGCCAAAGAAGGTGACATCGTGACTTTCGTTATAGTCGGCCTTCCGTGGCTTCGAACTGGTGGAAGTTGACCTCCTGGGGCTAGAAAACCGGAAAGTGGAGACGGCCCACCCAGACCTCCGCTTAGGTTTTTCACCGGAGATAAAATTGTAGGTACGGTCGATTGTACTATTACGTCAAAAGGTGCTGAAAGAGTATTGAAATCGAATTTAGATATATGCTTTCCCAGAATCAATTTATTAAACAAACCTTCTTCCGTATCGATATCTGAAGTTTGAGGAGGCATTGAAGATGATTTAGTTGAAAAGTAAGCAGGTCTTTTAGTCGTTGTTGGTACAGGTACCAGGTGATTAGTTACTAGTTGTATATCATCAGGAAGAGACTCCAGCAGAGGTGTCGTCACTTCCAATTCTGGCTCGAGCCTGTTATACTGAAAAATTGGCTGAGTTGTTCCCATAGAGCTGGACTGCGGTGCTGGCCATTCTGTGTGGTTTTTCTGATTATACACATTGTCAGTTAGTTGAGCAATTTGGTCATTCCCTGTTATCCTATTATCGGTCTTTTCAGGCTGCACTTTTGTAATGGTAGCTTCTTTTTTATGCAAGATTGTGGGTAAGTTATTAGTTTTAATATCCCATCGGGAACTATTGACGGAAGGTTTGGGTGTGAGTTTCACGGGTTCTAATTGTTTGTCGTCGTCTTCTTCGGTCCGATTGTAAGGGTTGAATATCGGTTTGAACCCTCCGGTCGACGGAAGCATCGGCCTGAATCCGTCTTCGACTTTTGGAGGCGATGTCACCTGCTGGACTCTCCCTTTCGCCCCCGGGAATCTGGTCTTTCCGTCCGAATTCCTGCTCGAACCCCAGAAACTGTCTATGTTCAAATAGGGAAGTGGCATCCCGAAAAATGTAAACGATGTTCCCGGCTTACTAGACGGCTTTTGAAATTTGTTTTCGACTGACCCTGGTTTCGCGTAAAGGGTCGGTGTGTCTCCTGGTATGAAATGCGACATGGCTGCAGGTTTATGAGTGCTCGTCGTCAAAATTAAAATAGGAGCGTCCGTCGAAGAAGCGACCACTTGTTGCGGCTGTTTTTGTTGCTGTTGAGAGAAATTCGAAGGAAGAGTCACATTCTCTTCATACTCTATGTAATCCTCATAAAAGTAATCTGTCTCCTCGGGGAGCGGCTTTTGATGCATGTCTTTCCAATTATTTGCATAGAGCTGCTGGGTTTGTCCCAAAGCTAAAATACAGACAAAGTTTGAAATACCATAACACATGCACTAAATGAATATATTTACATACTTGGACTGTCTTCACAATTTTGAGTATGGTCGAAACTCTTTGGCTCAGCACAGTCCTCTCTCGACAAGCGAAACTCTTTCAACAGAGAACCGTCAGAACATCTTGGCCCTTGATATGGGCCCTCTCGAACCCAAGATTGTAACCAAAGTAAACTGCAAGAGCACTTCAAGGGGTTACCTAAAAATAGCTAAATTTCAGTCACTTCATTCAATAAATTTTTTATTAACAAATTATGTTTACACGGCGAACATTGTCTAAATTTAAAAGTAGTTTTTAAGGTTTGTATTAAATTTTAAAAGCACTAATTAGCCTATTTGAGATGCTGAAGATGGGCCAACGGCCCGAAAGGAAAAAATAAAAAACATCACCCATGGATTTCATTGATTTTCGAATACCCTTCATCTATACTATAACCGTGGGTAATATTGTACAACAAAATTAAATTTGTAATTTTTCTTTCTTGAATGAATGAATAAAGGCTTTATTTACACAAAGTATTTACATTAACTTTACATTTCCAAAGAAAAAGCTAAATTGACAATGGCCTTAGCCGTCTGTCGAGTTGCTTTATCAATTTTTGTATCTTTAGAATGAACTTTGATTTTAAAAATTGAATTGGTCAACCAGGTATTTTCGGTACCGCAGGGCGTGAGTGAGGTACACCATAAGCTTCCTCCAGTTATCCCTTCCGTTGAGGATTGCAATGACTTCTTCTACATCCAGCTTCAGTTTCCCAAAGTACCTTTGGCGGAACTCTCTCAGAACGGGGCACACTCCCATGAAGTGGAGAGTGTCCTCCGGGACGTTGAGGTTATATAAGGAGCAAATGATGGCGCGGTCCTGTCTCCACGGTTGGCAATTCAGCTGAATTCACCCCTCGCCCTCAAGACCAGAGACACCTCATAGGCTGTCATGTCAGAGCACTCCGTGTAGTTTCGCCCTAAGTGAAAATGCAGTCTTGCGTACAAGTTGTGATGTAAGCTGTTTCTCGCGCGGTTTGTTCAGATTACGTTTTGCAGAAATGCTCTCACATATCATGAGCTGGGTCGAAAGATGGCCATGGAGAATCGAAATTGAAGAAGAGGGATCATTCTCACTGGTCGAAGAATAGGCCATGCGAGGCTGACACATGGACACTTATTTTAGGCCAAAGCCCCCACTTGAAGGAAGGGTGCCATTCCTTGGCTTCATATTGAGACCGTCTGTGAAAAATCATCCGATATGATAAGAGAAATGCTACACTCAAGGATTTGAGTCATTTGTTCCGATCTTCGGAGGAACCAGAGGTTGTATTGCATATAGTACCCATAGACATCCCGTTTTATGGTCTCTTGTGAGTTTACTTATATTGTGTGTATTTATTAGCGTGAATGTATAGTGCGAGAGGGCTGATGGTGGAATAATGAATACCCTAACGACCCGAGGAGTACCGAGAACTATCACCCTACTTGGATGAGTGGTATATAGATAGAAAATAACGTTTAACAATGAATGAGGATATGATTGTATCTTGATAACAGCATGAGTTGGGGTTGTTCGACCGTGAAACGCCAAATCTGAACCTGAATTTGACTGCCAAAACCAGAAACGAGTGATTCTGAGAAGTGAAGTCATTGGCTCAATTCTGCATGTATGTATGTACATGTACGTCCAGAATTGAGTTTATATAAGTCATTAGTCAGTAATTCATTTAGTATATTACCTTCAATATCTAGTTGATAAATTGTAGATCGAAGAGGTTGAAATGCGTTTTCCGATAGCGATATCAATTTGTTATTTCTCAGGCTGAGCATTCTTAAATGAGACATTTTAGAAAAAGGGGATCCTTGAATTGTGCATATCTTGTTGTCGTCCATCTACAAAAAAAAATCAAATATTTATCACAAGCCGCATAAAAAATTCCAGAAGATTCCCTTTACCTTCAGTTGAATTAACGAATCCAAATTGGGCAGGCCTGGTGTGTTCAGCCTTGACACTTTATTATGACTTATATCCAGAATTTCCATTGATTTTAGACCGTGGAGGCCTGCTCGGTCCAGTCCGGTCAGAAGATTGTGGCTCAGATTAAGAAAGAGAAGATTGGGCACACCCGTGAACGAATCGCTCGCCAAATGCGTCAGGAGATTTTCTTGAAGTTCCACGTCCGTTAACTGGGGAAGATCGGAAAACGCAGCGCTCGGAATCGTCGAGAGTTTATTTTTGGCGAGTTTTAGGGTTTGTAAGGATGGCATCGAACGTACGACGTGCGGGGTGAGGTACTGGATTTCGTTACTTTCCAAATCAAGAAGCGTTAAGTTGTCCATGTTCGAAAACGTGCTGTCGATCAAAGTCTGCAGTTTATTTTTCGTCAATTTGAGCATGCTTAACGATTTCATGTTGGACAAGGGTTGTATCAATTGTTGAATTCTATTATAGCTCAAATCAAGATTTTCCAATTCGGGCAGTTTCTTGACGGCTTCGGGAAACGAACTAAATGCATTGTGTGATAACGATATTTCTCTAATCTTTCTAAAAATCAAAAAATAAATTTATTATTTATCCGGGAAAATTAAACTGGCTTTATAGTGTCTAAATGATTAACCTGTTGTTGTCAAATGTCGAGCTAGTCAACTCTATCAATTGGTTGTGGCTCAAATCCAACATGTTAAGATTGTCGTTTTCTCTGAGAAGATTTGATTGGAATTTATTCAGCCTGTTGCTTTTCAAAGAAAGCTCCCGCAGTCTTCTTAAGTCTCTGAAAGCGTTTTCGTGTATAGCGTTCAGTTTATTGTCGTGCAGTTCCAATTTTTCCAGTCTTCCCAATCCTTCGAACGACCTCTCGTCTATTTTCTGTATAGAGTTTTCACCGAGAAACAGTTTCCTCAAAAGCGGCATTGATATGAATCCTTCAGGAGGCAGGCTTTGTATGCTATTCCCTGTCAATTTATTAAGTTTTCACACGAGATTATTTAAATGTTTAAAAAATTACTATTTTTATGTGTAAAATACCATTGAAATCAAGAAGTTTGAGTGATGGTAAAAGAAGATCTGATGATGGAGCTCTTGGGAGAGCTGTGATTTGATTCTTGGACATGTAAAGATATTCAAGGGCTCTCGGAAGACCTGGAACAATACTGCGTAGACGGTTACTGCCGACATCCAGATCGAACAAATTGTTCAAATGCGGTAAAGTCTGAGGGGTTATGACTTCGATGGCATTGTGTGATAGGTTGACATGCTCCAGGGCCGGAGTGCCGAGGAAGGAAGCAGGGTCGACGACGAGTAAGTTGTTCTTGCTTACGTCGAGACGTCTCAGAGATGGTAAATTTGCTAAAACTCTTCTATCCAACCTTCTGAACTCGTTATGAGCCAAATCCAAGCCCTAGAAACAAACACAATAAGTAGCTCATTAATTCACTACTTTCGTGGTCCGCTTGACCAATTAATTCATGACAATTAATTAAGGTTTTTAGTTGAGATGAAAAAAAGTTAATGGCACGAGAGGAATTCGAACCCACGACCTTCGGCTAGATACACCGCTGCTCTACCACCATGAAAACCATGAACCATTGAAAAATGGCAAAAGGAGGGAAAACTCATAAGGTGGGTTTGAGATGGGGAGTTGATGTCCGAGTGGATCGAGGTCACGATAGCTCAGGTGGTAGAGCAGCGGCGTATCTAGCCGAAGTCGTGGGTTCGAATCTCGCTCGTGACACTGGCTTTTTTATATCAACCCATACCTTACATAAAGATTAATTAATTGAAAGATGTTATTTGGTCAATCGGATCACTAAATCTAATGGATAAAAAATTATATATATATAATTATANTGTATATATATATTAGATATATGATAAATATGCTTTTTGCCTTTGTTGCGTACCTATGTATTTCAAGGTAGTAACCAGTCGATATAGGATGTTAAAATATATGAAGGATCGTATTATACAAGATTATGTAGGTCAATAAGACCAAATTGTATTTGGCCACTATCCATGAGTATGGTTGGTATTGAAGTGAATAATTTCAGCGAAAACGTGGTAACATGTGTTAAAACCTTTTTTTTAATAAGATACAAAAATGATATTCGTTTTCTGCACCTCTTAATACAAATTTTTGAGAAAATTAAAAAAATAAGTAAATTTTATAATCAAACTTTTGGGAATTTTATTCAAAATTTTCCAAATCCTCGGATTTTTTTTTCGAAAATCAGAAAAACATAACTTTGAAACGACTCCACCAATGAAAATAAACTTACAGCAGTTTAAAACTATAAAATAAACACAAGGACACAAACATGGTCTTAGTAGATTTATTAACACAAGAGATAAAATATAAGGTTTGAGAAATTTTTGTTGATTTCGTCCTTATGTATAACACTTATTTTGATATAAAATCAAAACCATGTTGATATAGGATGAAAGAAGACAAGATGAACTTTTAAATGGTTGTATTAAATGGGGACCTAGGTAAAATCCAGGGATGTTAATTTTTAAAGAATAAACATTTCTGATATTTTAGTCTTATTTTGAAGGTGTGATTAAAAATTAATTAAATAATTTTTCGACGTTTCTGCGATCCTGTGCCATTTTCAATAAAATATATTTTATTTCTGGAAAATTTGATGGTGAAAATGTCACAGGGTCGTCTAAAATCGTAATTTTCTTTTTTAAAAACCTTCTAATTAAGGTCTACAAAAAATAAATTTTTCATTTATAAAAAGAAAAAGGACAACAATAAAAGAATTTTTATATAAAGCACAATGTATATTTTTTGTTCGCTCTTCGTACATCAGATCTTTGCAGGGTGCCTAAAATGAAGCCGGATTTTTTTAAAGAAATTTTTTTTGACCTGGGCCTTTTTCGATTTTTGTAAATTTTTATCTAGTTAAAAACAATCCTGCATACTATTTACTCATCTTAGGTAAACATCAAATCTACTTAGATAATAAATAACCTTGAAATAAACACTGGCGTGTGGGAGTCGTCCAAACATGTCACAAAGGTACAGAAGGTAGAGGTAACCCCTAGCTAGGAAGGTAGAGGAAGAGAAGTAACCCCTAGCTAGGAGAAACTATAGACTCAACTGAAGTAACCAACAATGTAAGCATTTTTAATATGGAAAAAAACAGGAACAGGAGGAAAAATAATAATATTCTCATACACTGATGCGTGATATAAGCCTTATGAAAATAAAAAATAACAATGGCAGAAAACAATATTTTAAAATAATTATATAATTTTTTACGGTTCCTAGGCCCATTGGCAAGAATGTTCGGATAGGTGTCTAATGTTTTTCACCCTAGTATCGCCAAAGAATTTCAGCAAAATCGGTGTTCCCACGTCCGCCATTGTAAGAATTTACATTTGGATCTATGAAAGAAATGCTGGAAGTTTTATGAAGGAGCCTTAACATGGTACTTGTGGAATAAAAAGTTTAATTTATAAAAGTCTCTGACATTAGACTATACTGTAAAATAAGAAAAACTGATCGATACTGGAATGTGGGAGTCGCCCATATATGTCACAAAGGTAAAGAAGAGAGGTAACCCCTAGCTAGGAGTAACCATAGATTCAACTGAAGTGAACAACAATGTAAGAATTTTTAATAAGGAAAAAACATCACAAAGGAACAGTAGGAAAAATAATAATATTGTCATACACTGATGCGGGAGATAAGCCTTCTGAAAAAAAAATAATATAACTAAAGAGGAAGTTTGAAAATACAAATGCCGTTATTTGTAAAAGTGAAAAAGTTTATAGGCTTACACTGAAAATAAATTGAATGAATCAATTTTTTTTATGCAACATAAAACTTATAAACAAATAAAATTCTAACAATAAATTTGTAAAAAAACATTTTAAAAAGTTTAATTTTATCCAATTAGCTGTAATAAAATGCAGCGAACTACGACCAAATGTAGGTCATTTATCAAATTTTTAATTTTAAAAAATATCAACAAAAAATATTATTACTTACTTTTAAAGCTGGAAGATTCCACAGAGGCATTTCTAAATAATTGGATAGAGAATTATTCCTAAGGCGCAATTCTCGAAGGGCGGGCATTGCAGTAAATGCCTCCCTCACGACTCTTTTGAGATGGTTGTCGTTTATGTGGAGCCTTTCTAATGTAGGGTGTCCTCTTAGGGCCCCGAACATAATATCCTGCAATTTATTTTTGCTTACATCCAAAAACTTGAGCTGGGGCAGCGTTTCCATGATTATTGTCAAAGCCATGATGTGGTCGATTTCGTTGTTCATCAGGTTCAACTCTTCGACTCTGCTATCGTAGGATTGGAGATAAAATTCGGGAAATATTCTTTTAATGTTATTATCGCTGAGATCAATTTTAGACAAAGAGGGCAATCTGTGAAACGCTCCTCTTTGGACTTCTTTTATTTTATTCATATTCAGATAAATTTCTTTGAGAGGAGGGATGTCGACGAATGAGGTTTCTCTCAACTCGTCTATTTGATTGTTGTCTACTTTTACCACTGCTAAATGAGGAAGTTCTCTGATGGACCTTCCGACTTCCCCTGCATCTATAATATTGTTAAAAGAGAAAGATAGCTCTTTTAAAGATGGTAGTCTCATCATTGCCCTGGGGTGTATCCAAGTGATGCCGCAACCTGTGAAGTTCACAGTCACCAATCTAGGTAGATCCTGCAAAGCTGAGGCTTCTAGAGTTTTCAAACCCTTTGAACCGACGATCTGCAACATTTCTAGCATCTCTAGGTTGTTGATCCGACCCGGTGTTAATTCAGACATTGACGGTAGTTCAGTTTGGATGTACTTGAGCCTCGACAGGCCAGAAAAATTAGGCATTCTGGGTACGAAACCGGCTTTGAGAGTTACGGCCTCCATTTTCAGGAGAGTGTCGAAACTGTCTTCAGGTAGGCTTTTCAGCTCGGGTTCCACGATGAACACTTCAAGGAGCGATTCTTCCAGTCCTGCCAGCCAATTTGCGGCGACCCTTTCTAATTTGTTGTCCCTCAACATCAGCCTAACCACCCGCAAAGGGGCGAAGGCTCTGCCAGGAAGCGCAGTCATGGCATTGTTCTCAAGAATCAGCTCGTCTATTGGCCTGGTTAGTTGAGCGCCAACGGCCTGCAGCCCTGACAGAACTGGTGACAATTCGCTGTGACTGCACCTGAAAAAAGTTACAATAAATGTTTAAACGCACGTCCAAGCAACCATCCATGAAACTAAGAAGAAGAAAACAAATTTATTCTGGGGAAGGCATGTCCCTTTAGAATGGGGCTTTAATTTAAGGAAAATAAAGTTCTATTATTTACCAATTTTTTATTAGCGTCATTTAAATGAAAGAAATCATTATTTATAATTAAACATTTCTTTATGTTATCCTCGTTACAGTTATGCAATCTCACTTTTTACAGAGTGCAGTAAATAATAACATCACAAATGTTTCCTTTTGAAAGAGAGTTTTCACTTTTTTTCAAATTTACTTAGCGAACTATTTACCAAGCGGATAAGCAAGTCTTCTTTTTATCAAAGAATATTCAAAATTATCAAACTAATCTATAAATGTGTAGATCAGACCAAAGTTATATGCCATAGGAAATAGTAAAAAATTCTTCAATGACAAATTAATTTTAATATTTTTCTAAATTTTTTATCTACTAATTAAACCGTTATACATTCCGAATTCGACTAATAAACAATCTCCTGCTTATCGGTTGAGCAATATAAGTTTAACATTCTTTCAAAGTATATTTCGACATATAAACATCCGGTGGTATGAGGTCTTCCTCAGGAACAACCGGGAGGTTGATGGATAAAAAATATTATTAATACATTATTTCAACCAGTATAATTGGCAAGTATTTATACATGTATAAAAGACCAAATAATATAACCATAACAAATATGTTATTTATTCACTTCCCAGACTTTGAAGCCCCTCCCCTCTTGCTTATTTATAATAGTACGCATGATCAAAGAAAATTATGGACATACTTAAACGAACGTGGAGATTGTGTTAATCTCGGATTAATTTGTGTTATCGATCTATATATTTCAACAAAAACAAAACCCAGGTGAAACCGGAATTTTAAGAACTTCCGTTTAAGAAACCTCATTTTCGCAACAGTTCCAGCCAAGGCTGTAGTGCTGAGTAGTTAATCAGTTGTTTTCAACTCGATAAAAACTAAACAAATAAAAACTTTGAGACGATGAAACAAATCCCGAACGAATCGTTTAATTAGATATCGGCGATTGAGGACGAAACCGACGTAAGAGCTGTGAGAGCGTTATATACACCGGCCAGAGGTTAGGTGAGACGGGGGTTTGGTGAAAAACAATGCCTCTTGCCACATCATTCTTCCTCCCCGTAGAAAAGAGAGAAAGTCCCCTTCAAAAAGATGTAACCACCGTGTGAACAATAGCGAAGGATGCGTGTTCTAGACCGACTAATCTGGCGTTTGCTGTCCCTCAAAATTCTGGACCCGAGGATTTAATTTCCATACAAATTTCTTTAACTATGGCAAAGAAAGCTGTTTAATAAATAAATCGTATTTTATGTAGTGTAGGTTTTTTCACATTAGCTTTACGTTTGCAAGAAGCTTTCAATCTTTAAATTTAAGTAGATGCTTAGAGTATTAATTCATTTACGTTTTAGTGGTCAATTGACCATTCAATTGATTATTCCTTCCATGAAAGGTTTTGGTTGAGATAAAAAAGTCAATGTCACGAGCGGGATTCGAACCCAAGACCTTCCGGTAAATACGCCGCTACTCTACCACTTGAGCTATCGTCACGTCGATCCTCTCGGACACCAACTCTCCATCTCAACCTACCTTTCGCATTTTCCTTCCTTTTTGCCATTTTTCAAATGTAATGATTACACGACATTTGAAAATGGCAAAAAGAGGGAAAATTCGAACGGTTGTAGGTTGAGATGGTGTCCGAGAGGATCGAAGTCACGATAGCTCAAGTGGTAGAGCAGCGGCGTATTTAGCCGAAGGTCGTGGGTTCGAATCCCGCTCGTGACACTGACTTTTTTATCTCAACCAAGACCTTACATGGAAAGAATAATTAAGTGAAAGATGTTTAGAGTATTGATACTTTTTCTTTTATTACCGTTATTTATTTATTTATTGCATAATTAAACATATGTTTAGGTTTAGGGTTCCGGGCTGTTTTCCTCTTCTTAGTAAGAAAATTTTAGATAATATAAATAGATAGAAGGGGAAAGTGCAAGGGGAAACCAGCAAGGGAAGACCTTTTGTTTTAGGTTCTAAAATGAAAATATGGTCCCTTCAAAAACCGACCACGGTCTCGCCTGAAGGAAAGATCGTTGAGAGGTATTTTTATCCCATTTATTTGAAATCCCTTAGATATTAAGCTAAAGCGTTTGTCCGCCGGTATGGGGTCTTCCTCAGGAACGGCGGGGTGGTGGAAAGGGTAAAAAATGAACTTTTTCTTACATTCATCTCTTCAATATATATTTACTGTGCAATACTGCGGCAAAGGGTTGTTTCAAAAACAATAACAAATACAAAAAATATAGTAATGGAAATGATTAAGGATTTTCAAATTTGAACTTCAATAATATTCATTATAAAAGTTAAGCTGGAACAATTAACGTGAGATTTATTCCTTTGGTCTGCCTTCTTGCCATCTTCGGTGTTGGGTCAGTGTTGTTATTACATATAGTACAATTAAAAACAAGAGTCGAGAAACTATTGGCAGTACTCCAATGATACCATTTGTCTATTTAATTAAAAGTTGTGCCACTATCAATGTCACTGTCATTGGATAACCCGCGGCCATCGCCTCTTTAGTCAGCGAGGAGGGTGTTAGAGTTGAAGATTTATGGTGGTTGGTAGAGTTTGGTGAAACTTGGTGGTCAGGGTACGTATTTTATTTTGGAAAAGAGGAATATTTAGGTCTGTAAGGGTAGTTTTGTTAACCACATAAAATTGTGCATCAAGGATTTTTCTCAGGATTATGGATTCAGCAATTTGGATGCGACAGATATTTGAGTTTACTGAACCTACTTTACCATCATTAAAATAATAAGGGGTTCAGAGGGTTTGGCCTCTACGACTTTACGCACCGTGGCCTATATTGGTCTGTTTTGTAATCTCTACTATTATATACAGCTCTTTGTTAAGAGCTCACTTGTTTATCCTTTAGGCCTTGGCTTTTCATCTCACAAGAGTATGAAAGCTCACACTGCATACACCAACTGAGGACTTGGTCCGCTCTTTCTTCTTCCTGGTAATATTTGCATAGGCTTGTTTCTGCTGATCCGAGTCTAGACATATACCTCCGGAGTTTGTAGTGTACACTCAGCAGTCCTAACAAATTAGTTTGTGGAATGGTTTTTCGGTGCCTGAGTTCTGTAAAACAATCCCATTGAACCGACAACTTATTCTATGTACTATGATGGATCTACGTTTTTGACAATTTGATATGCCGCAAAGGGCGTCAGGGCCGATATGTGTCGCCATCGAACTTTCCTTGGCTTCCTCGTTATTGATCTCCTGTACACAAACAAGAGTAAATTTGTTGTCTCCAATGTCTGGCAGGGTTAATACACAACACAATTCGCTATTCTTTTGTTGGTAGAATAAAATGTAATAAATTTCTTATAATTAATTGTGGACAAACTTTAATATATGCGTTGATAAAGTATGTTCTCTATGTTTAAATAACTAGTAGAAAAACATCTAACTTGCAATTTTTTCCTCAAACAAGCCAGTAGGTTGTAGTTTAGTGCAATAACGACATCAATTTTTTATTTTATTTCAGCTGTTGAACAGTATTTGAAAATTGACTCTGTCAGTTTGCATGAGGAAAATATGCCAATCTTGATCCACTGATTATGGAATTGTTGGTCTATTTTATTTTTTACCAAGATAGCGGAACGATTTGAGCAATGAGTACTGAGCAAATCCAGAAAAAAATAATCCAAGGGGCTTATTCAATTTTCCAAACCTGGCCTGAAACGCTCTAGTTTCTCTCGATGAGTAAATCACTACTCTTTGTAAAATCATTGATATGCTTGATGTTATAAGTAAAACTTCCGGGATTTTTGTGTGTATAAAGCGTATATATAATAATAGAAAATAAATTTGAGTAAATTAGACAAAATTTTGTCCAAAGAAGGTTACGATGGAATGGAAGAATTTGCCTGAAAATAGTCTAAAAAGTGTAAAGCCTTACATCATATGTGCATTGAATAGACAATTGCAACATAAGATTAGGTTCATCTAAGAGAACATCCTAAAACCTTCATCTTCAAACAATTTCTGCACCATAATGAATCGTAATGAATTAAATTACAAGTGGTTGAATCATTAGTTCGCCTCGAAAAATTGTGCAACCCCATCCCTAACCATCCCTAACAACACTACTACTAGAAAACACTATACGTACTAAATAGTAATCAGTAAAGCAATGTTGAAGTGGTGAAGTTTTTTTATCTGAATCTTAGATGGAACTTTCTGCCTCTGGGGACCGATTGAGAACAACGAGTGTAACGGTCGTGATATAACGAGAGGGGAATTGACCCCACATGTCACGGCACTGTTATCATCGCGAATCTAATAACGTTCAACATGAAATCTTCTAAATTGTCCCAGTTAGTAGTTATGAACGCAATAATAGTAGAAAGCTGGTTAGATCTGACAAGTTTGAGGAGAGAGACGGTGGTTGATACAGCGAAAACGCATACATTTGCCTGTCAAAAAAAACTAGAACGGATCGAAAGAGTAAAGCCGGCAAGGGATTGCAATATCATTAATGACAGTGTCTCCTAAGAAAATTTATGTGATAAAATGGGTAATACTTGGCATATAACATAGTAAAAAATCTGCTGGAACCTAAAATTCCTGTTTTTCTAATCCACCGGAAACTAGAGCCAACATTTTACCGATATTTTAAGTTCATTCGTTTATGCAAGTAGTAACAGTTACAAATAATACACTGAGAGGCAAAAAAGTGGCCACCCTCGTTTTTTTGAGTAAATACGTGCAATCGTTATAATTTTTATTTTTTGTTGTTAACTGTATATTTTTTAAGAAAAATATACGGTAGAGCCAAATATAAAAATAAACTGAGTAAAACAATTTAATGTTGCTATGGAAACAATGAAGAAAATTCATTAGATTTCGTGGTCCGATTGGCCAAATAACTTCTTTCAATTAATTAATCTTTGTGTAAGGTATTGGTTGAGATAAAAAAGCCAGTGCCACGAGCGGGATTCGAACCCACGACCTTCGGCTAAATACGCCGCTGCTCTACCACTTGAGCTATCGTGAATTCGATATAGCCGAAGATCGTGGGTTCGAATCCCGCTCGTGGCACTGGCTTTTTTATCTCAACCAATACCTTACACAAAGATTAATTAATCCGACGTGGATAGGCAGACCAAAATGATCGGTAACAATTAAATTTGGGGGGGGGGATTAAATTTCAGATTCATCACCTCGCAGACAACGGATAAAGCTCACAACCTACGTTAGCTATCTTCTGCCAACTATAACCCTAAAAATTGGCTAATCCTATTCGACTTTTCTTTTCAGGTGTATGTTAAACTAATTAAAATGTTCGGAAATGACCAATATCAGTTTAACCGAACACTAAAGTTGTCGAAATGCAGAAATTCGTCTGACAGACCAAACCGGCATCGAGAATAGGTAAATTAAAATGACCGGTGATGGCTAAATTACAGGAATATCACAACTTTCGATATTTCAACGATGATGTTTAACATATATGAATAAAGAATTGTATTTGTTTAACCTGTGGGCCCCTCCTGTAGAGCTTGAGATTGCAACAAAGCAAAACTAGTTTCCAAATTTCCCTCTTTCACAAAGGCGCCCGAAACGGGCTGATGGCCACGCACAAAACTCTCCCTCGCCTTGGAGATGAAAGATAAACGAGCGATCGAAACTCTCAGTCCGACATAAAACGAAATTTTAAAACATTACCATATTTGTAGTTCGTCAGCTCTTGTCGTACACAAGCAGGGTGTGATGGTCTCCGGCGGCGGACAGGCATGTGCAGTTATTACCAGTAATCCAATCCCCACGATATGCCACCATAAAGAGTACCACATTGCAACCACATATCAAAAAATCTTGCTCTGAAACACACAAAAATAGACAGATTAAAAAAGGTCAAGACTTAGATAATGAGATGGATGTAATCTTTTTTTAAGGCATTTTACGTGTTAAGTAAAATTATGGTAGGGATAGCTTCGGGGCGTCGTTGGCCGCAACGGTTTAGGCTCATCACTGTAAGGTAAAGGTCCCGGGTTCGAATCCTGCAGCTCTGCATTCGAACCCGACATACTTACAAATGGGCTTTTTTTTTTTTTTTTTTCAAAAACACCGACACCCTGAGGGTTTATATGACCTCTGCTGTTGCGGACCCGCGTAAAAAAAGAAAAAAAAAATTAAAAAAGTTATGTTTACATAAAAACCCACTACTACGAACCAACAAAACGTGGCGAAGCAAATATCATTGTCTTGATTTGCCCGTTAATAATTTTTTTTATAACTAAAAGAATCTTATATATAAATCCATTATATTTAGAGGTCTATTGACCAAATTACTTCTTTTAATTAATTAATCTTTTTATGTAAGGTTTTGGTCGAAATGAAAAAGTTAGTATCACGAGGGGATTCGACCCTCGACCTTCGGCTATCCCTAACCATCCCTTATACAGGGTGAATTGCTACTCGTGCTACAAACTTCTCCAGTAGATTCTTCACCCTAAAATGAACAAAAAAGTTCATATTGTCCATGGTCCGATTCTNGAATCGGACCATGGACAATATGAACTTTTTTGTTCATTTTAGGGTGAAGAATCTACTGGAGAAGTTTGTAGCACGAGTAGCAATTCACCCTGTATATAAAGAATAATCTGCCAAAATATTTTTTTAAATATTTCTTTAATATAATACTCTTTAAAATAAAAATAAAATATGATTGTTAATTGTGTAGTGTAAAAGTTGTGGCATGTAGAGTTTCGCATAAGAAAACTTTTCATTTCTAACGTTGAAAACTAGTTTCTTAAAAATTATAAAAACAATTAATAAGGTTTTTATCTCAACTAAAAACTGTAATTAATTGAAAGATATTAATTGGTCAAGCGGACTACGAAAACTAGTGAATTTAATAAGTTTAAATGAAGTATACCTTCATTAATGTTCCCTGTGGCCATTTCATTTGTCGCCGAGAATCAAATAGATTACACGACATTTCACGACACAAAAATGGCAAAAAGGAGGGAAAATTGAAAAGGTGGGGTTGAGATGGGAAGTTAGTGTCCGAGTGGATCGAGGTCAAGATAGCTCAAGTGGTAGAGCAGCGGCGTATCTAGCCGAAGATCGTGGGTTCGAATCCCGCTCGTGACACTGACTTTTTTATCTCAATTAAACACCTTAATTAATTGAAAGATGTTAATTTGCTCAAGCGAACCACGAAAACTAGTGAATTATAAAAATAGATCGTTCAAAACAAAAATATGCAGGAGAAACGAGTTTATTTATTTTAAAAATTCCTTTACTGAAGATTTTTAACCGATCAAAAGGAGGATGTCAATTCGTCAGTATTGAGCATGATATTTTAAACAGAGCTGGCTGTTGGTTGTTTAGTTCTAGGCAAAGGGGTCCGATGCGGACGAAGCGCTTTAAGAAATTAAACATGCAAGACTGCCATCCGCCGGAAGAGATTCCCTATCAGGGGAATAGTTTTATCCATTACAATCTATCTGCCAGAGCTCAACAAAGGAGGAATTACCTCAAAAAAAAAGAGGGGTTAACCTACAAGCAGTGCTATTCTTGTATTTCCATATGTTGTATCTGCTTTGTTTTTTATTGGAAAAAATCTATTTTGATGTTTTAATTTGTATGTTGAATGAAAGATTGATTGAAGTTATTTGCCAATTTGAACTTCAGATACACTGCCGGTTAATTTAATCATGTAAATTATATTTAATAATTCATTATGTTTCATTCATTATGTTCACCTTCCGCTTTCACATTTCCTCTCAAGCAGGATTTTTTTTCAAGGCATTATCATTGCAATTTACAATAACCAAATTGAATTCAAAAATATTTTGTATAAAAGTTTAACGTATGTATAAGGGTCAGACGCTTCGATTTTAAAACCATCGAAGTGATAAAAAGTGAAAACTAACAAGTGAGAAGCTCTTTGGAAGAGGGTAATTAAAGCTGGCTTCCGGGGATAATTAATAATTTCCTTTTGCATTGGAATATCATAACATAACTCATTAAAAAAAAAGTTAGCTTACGTGATGAACCATACATAAGCCACCAAAAGTGCCTCTCCTTTTGTCTTTTAAATATTCCAATTCTAACAGTTATATAAAGGGTATTAACAAAAGTGTTAATAAAAATTTCAGTACGTTTTAATGGCAAACAGTTTGATTAAAACCAAGCAATTTGGTTGAAATAAATTAAAGAAATGAACAGATATCGGTATTCAATTGAGTACCCTGATCAACAAGAAGCAAAGTCGAAAATCCCTTTTTGAAAAATCCTTTTTTTCAGTCAGACTTCGACCCGAATTTGTAATTTTGCATTGGGTTATACAGAAAATAATGCAGGTTTTCACATTTTCTTTAAATCACACCTCTATACAGGGTGTCCCAATTCCTTCTGACGAAACTCAGGGAATCGATTCTACTCTTCGTTTAGAGCAAAAAATGCTCAGGAGAAAATTTTCTTCTCCATTTTGAAGGTATTCGTCAATTTAGGTTTTTTCAACTTTTCACCACCTTACCACATAAAAATGCTTACAACTTACAAAATGTTGAGACTACAACAAATCCAATTACATCATTTGAAAGATTTGCTATAAGATACTTCTATTTGCAATAATCTGAATGACATAAAATGTTAGCCAATATCAGTTGGAACATGTCAAAATTACAAAATTTAAAATTTTGGTCATGATTGCACGTTCTACTGAGGTTACAAAAAAATACCTACAACTTGTCAAATTTCACTTTTTTCAACTTCTTCATCTAATATGCTTTACGTTGATATATCCAGGTTTTTAAATAACGTTGTAGTAGGGTTGAAAAATAAACGTAAAGCAAGGACAACCAAGAACTGTTTTGAAATGCTCTTTTTCCGCTAATATTTGATATCTCGGCAACAAATCTGGTCAAATGATCGACGTAATTGGTAAGGAACATTACCAATGTGTGTGAAAATTAGTTATTTCATTAAATTCACTAATTTCGTGGTCCGCTTGACCAATTAATATATTACAATTAATTAGGTTTTTAGTTGAGATAAAAAGGCCATTTCATTTTTCGACGAGAATCCAATCCGGTTACACGACATTTGAAAATGGCAAAAAAAAAAGGGAATTGACTTTATGATCTTGGAGTTGGTTCTCTGGGCAATTTCTGGTATGACTTGGTCGGGGTGCGCCGTGGTTTTTTTGGGTGCCCTTTATAACCGTTTTAACGTTAGAGATTTCCAAGACTGGATAGTTTGGTTCCGAACATATCATTTGTTATTAACCGGAATATACTGTCCTGAATGGTTTTTATTTGTGAATCAGATGCGGTCAATATTATTGTACAATATAGATTGCACAATAATTTGACGGTTGCCCCTTAACGTTCAATATTATTGTACAACATTTTGTTTGTGCAATAAACTTGAATAGTTTGAAGACGATATTGAAGTTTGTGCAATGTTTTCCACTTGTTGATACTTAACAAACTGACTGATATTGCGCAATAATGCCAACAGACGGTGCAATATTTTCCAGGTTACACAATATATTTTCAACTTTTCGTCAATCATACAATGTATTGTACAAACTTTCAATATCGTCTACACACGATCAATTAAATTGCACAATCCAAAATATTGTGCAATAATATTGATCGTCTATGGGCCGCTTTATAAGAATGTATTTGTTTCTGACTTTCGTGACGTCACGTATTTTGTATTTTAGCGGGCCGTCATCTGAGTTCTTCCAAGGCCGCCGCACTGTCTTCACTCTTCTGTAACCTTACTCCTCAGTTTGTTTTGGTCCTACAAAAGACTGTTTATCCTTTTCACGTGATCAGTGATTAAATAGTGCGAGAAAAAAGTTGATTTACATGAGTTTAGCCTGTTTACAACGTAAAATAAAAGCCGAAACCTGATTCAGAATGGCTATGTTCGGTCTGCTGGCGTCTGGGCGTATGGTAAGAACTAAACAAAGCCTTATTTGGTAGCTTTATATAGTGACAATTAAAACTTCTTCCCTCTAACTTTTGCGGTGTTTTCTCATTATTTAATTATTCGGAAATGCTAATTATCTTTATATAACAATCCTTTTATTAACCTTCTTCACTTAATTTAATATCAAATAAGTCTATTGTATATGACAAATATAAAATATATAGAATATATAATATAGGTTCAAAATAACACATTTTTTATGTGAATTGCCTCGTTTTAACCAGAGATTTTATGATGTTTGGAGTTTTGTAGTAATTTTCCAGTTTGAAAGTGTTATAAAGTATAAAAATAAAGTACCTATAAGTTAAGACTTCAAAGAAACTCATTAATTACCAAACATTGCAGATGATTATAAAAAGTAATTCATATACAAAATTTGCCCAAAGGAATTAGAATCCCCATCGATAATTCACTAAACATGTACATTTGGATTTGCTTTTGATTTTTTTTTTTTTTTCAGTAATTAATTTAAAAAATTTGTATATTATTTTGCAGGTCCAGACAAATTTTGACAGGGTTGGTGAAAAACAGTTTCTGATAACAATACCCGAAGCTGACTCAATAAATCACGTTGTTGTCTTTTTAACTGGGGCTGTCGCATTTCCCGATGGCTTTGGCGGATTAGGTCAGTTTGAAACCAATCAAAATAGTAAAATAAGAAATTCAATGTTAATCTATGCTTTCAGTATATTTTTCTTGGCCCAATTCAAACGCCCCGCCTAACTGGTGTCTCCTGGGTGTGATCACCAATGAAAAACCTTCCTCCATATTCAAGATATCAAATTTGAAAAAGGACAGCCAGCCTTCCCTTCAAGAGTCAGGCTTCCTTGCATTTGCCCAGACGAAAATATCGCACGTTGCTCAAATTGGCATCTCGATCGAGACTGCTGATGTGGTCCAACAGCAACACATGCTGCTCAACGCTGAAACGACAAAAAATCAAACACAGTTCGTCGAGTTCACTCAGAAAATGTTGGAGAGCTTTTTCAACTATAGCGCCAGCTTTGTTCTTACACCATCGCCGAATGAAGCTTACGTACCAATGAAAGTGGTCGAAGACTGGTATAAGAACTTTGAAAGGAAACTAGCATTGAATCCATATTTTTGGAGGAGCTCTGCTTAGCACGATATCATTGGAATATATTTTTCAAATGTATATTTACCTCTCTCTCTCTATTTATTATATCTTTTTGCCAAAACCTTATGCTAAAAGTTTGAAATGGTTGGTTATCTTCTTGAATTTTACTAAGGGTTTTATAGGCTGTACACAAATAAAAGTAATCTAAACTTTGAATTCTATGTGTATCTATCTTAACCCTGCCTATTTATTAACAAATTATCAATTGAAAGCATCGGTATAATAATCATTCGAGTAGATAATTAATTATGAACCATAGTGGCAAACGAATAGTTTAGTTGCGTATGAACTTTCAAGAAATACTTGTAACATGAAAATGTCAAGAAATGTTTTAATAATTTAATATCAGTCTTGAATGTTATGATGATTAAATTGATGAAATTGGTAGATGGGTAAAATGATGAAAAAGTCAATTTTCACAATTGTTTTACCATATAAACCTTGTTTTCTCAAAAATAGCAAAAGTTTATTGAAGCAAAAAAATTTAATATCTAGCCACTTCTGAAATAGGAAAATACTAAAATAAGTGAGAATGTGTTCTTATGTTTTGTTTTTGCCTTTAATTGGATTAATTTGTAAAGCGTAATGAACAAAATTGACAGCTGTACCGATGAATGTGGTGATGAACCTGTAGCTTGCTACACTACTAATCCACTTTCTTTTTACAAATGTATAAAAGGGAAACAACTAACTAAAATAACATACAGACCAACCAATGAAAACGAAGTGGCAAGACTCTTCAGGTAGAACAGTCCAACTAAGATGACCAAGCTTCATGTTGGATGTTGCAGCATCTTTTTACTTTTGTTTGGTCGTAATTTATGGTAAGAATTCATCACTCCATTTCTATGAATTAGTATCAATAACTGTGTTGTGTATGAGCATAATAGTTTGATCACATTAAATGGTTCTTTTGGTCTTGATCTTTCCTGCCAACTAGTAACTAAGCAACAACTAAACATTAATGAGATTTAAAAGTTGGGACGTTAAATTTCTCCTCATCTAAACTGGTAAAACATTAATAATAATATTCAATTAATTAAGGTTTTAAGTTGAGATAAAAAAGTCAGTGTCGCGAGCGGGATTCGAACCCACGACCTTCGGCTTGCTACTCTGTTACTTTAGCTCTCGTGACTTCGATCCACTCGGACGCTAACTTCCCATCTCAAACCCACCTTTTGAATTTTCCTCCCTTTTTGCCATTTTTCAATTAATAATAATAACAAATCGTAAAAAGTGAACACACTGCTTTGTGTTAGTGGGTTATATTTCCATAAAAGTCGGGATCCTTCGTTCCGGTAGACTGGCATGGGGAGCAACCGGCTCTGTACCGTTCAACAGCGCAACTTCCGCTCATAATGCACTTTAAACATTGGGCAATGTTTTGGCCCGTCAGTAGAAAAGAATACAACACGGCTTGATAGTAAAAACGATAAGACATCAATTTTATTTCGAGGAAGTAGGTGAAGTACGTATGTCACAATGGTGCTTAACATGGGCTAAATAAAAGCAGCCATCAGGATTTTCTGAACCATCAAGTTTGACGAACGGTAAACGAATGCTCATCGGTCTGATTAGTGAACCAGATGCAATCCTCAGAAACTCCAATTTACTCAGTTGAAACGAAAATCGATCTATTTTCTAGGTATACCCTTCGAGCACATTGAAGTTGAGGAACATGCTATTCTTTTCAATGACGTGGGTCTATTGTTATCCCTGTAATTCAATTCCTCTCTTTCACGAAAGATCGAGGTCGGGGTTGTATGGAGGACGAGAGGGACGTTCGAATTCTACTCGAAATGCTTGGCCCTGCGTTGTCACGCTGAAGAAGTTTCGGTTCGAATACGCATTGTTAAAGGCCGATCAACAAACACCTAACTCTTTCAAAATTCCACCAAACAAAACAACGAGGTGGTGCTAAGCAGAGGTAACTCATTGCATTACGGGCTTGATACATTTTTCACCGCGAATTCGATGGTTTGTTTAAGCTCGAAAAATCAGTAGCAGTTTTAAAAAGTCTGGGCACTCTTAAGCTGATTTTTGGACTGCTGAGACCATAATTCGTGAAGGAAACTAAAGCTGTTTTGAGCCAGTCCATATGGGAGATTTTTCTCGCTCGAATATCAGCAGCCACAACTGTACTTAAAACTATCTACTAAGAGGCTCCCAAAGGATTGTACTTAATTTCAAGGGTTTCCTTTCAGGATTTCTTAAACCAGCTCTGTGCTTCATGGGATGGCATGGCATCCAAGGTGGCATCATTGTAACCTAAGATTTTGTCAGATTTCTTCTTAAGGTGTGTGGAGGGATGAACCTCTAGCTGATCATTAACCAAAACAGAGAGAATAGGTAAGCCAAAATGAACGGAAGCGACTAAGCGTTTTTTAAATTAGTAGTTCTTATGCAGCAATTCGCAAATGAATGATTCTCCATGTGGAGGGTTCTCTAGACACTTGTGGGCGTTTTCTTTTAAACCGGCTGGCGTTAAGTGGTTTAGGTCCATTTGAAGCTGCCTGTCTGGTTTAGCATTGCATTGTGAAGTTTTTCTTTGATTAAGATGGAAATAGCATGTACTTTGAAATCCGAATGGAGTGCTGTATGTGTATAAACCATGAGACGCAGGTAGTTCACAATATTCGGGTTGTTTCGAACCTCCGGCTGGTGAGGTTGTTTTGCTGATTTACATAAGAGTACTGCCAAATGAGGCGAATGAGCGATAAATACAGCAGGCCTTTAGTAGCATATGTAAGGGATGATTTATGGTCCAGAGTTTGATTCAATGAGTACCTTATTATTGTTATTGGAGTTTTAAAGGTGCTCGGCCGATGTTATCTTATCATCCTAGTGTAATCCTAAGTAACGGACATTTGCCCTGAGATGAATAGGTTGTTCAGAAGGAGTGGGATGTGACATGACAGTGTGACATTTTTTACACCTCTACAGTAAGGTATGAAAATTGGTGGAGTGTCCGTTGAGCTTCTTCAGCTTAAGCTCTGAGATTCAGAAAATTAAGCAATAAAGCATCAGTAAAACAAAACATTCAGATATTAGTTACAACTTAGTTACTCTTAGGTCTCTTCATTCTTCTGTCATGACATCTCAATCATCTTCATGTCTAGTTATTTTCCTATTTGATCAAATACCAGATTTCTATTTCAAACATTTAATTCTTAATGATAATCAAGTGTAATTGTTAATGGTAAAATAAGAGTGCAGATTCAGTCATTAGAAATTCATGCTTATCTTAAAATTCAGCGATGTAGTTTATCAACCAGCTAATTCAATACTCTCAGTTATCGGGTTTGTGGTCAACATCAATCATCTAAAAGTTGATGTTTACTTTGTTTAGTATTCTTGGATGTATTTGGGTATTGTTATAAATTTATCGAAATTTATGTAAGAAACATGTTATGAAAATATCTACCTTTCTGCTTACTTGATTTCGCCTGTTTTGTTCAGTTGTTCTACTTATTCCCGTACAAAACCTACACAACCGTATTAAATGGAACGCGGATAAACATCAAAACACAAAGCCACTGAACATTAATAAGTCTAATATCGTGTACCATTTGCACATCATATTTTATTTTATTTTTTATGTACATTGATAATTATTTTTTCATAGATGAATACGTAATTTTCTGTCAAAGCACTCGGCCCATCGAGGGCCCAATTGTTTTCTCGCTTCTTCCAAGTCGAGTCGCTCGGCATAATACGACACGCTCCCATTAACAGCAATACCCTTCAGAAATAATTTCATTTCGATCCTTGAAAAAAAAAATGCATAGCTGAACCAATTATGAAAGGACATCATATTAGACAAAAAAGGTTTTCTCATTTTTCTGAATGGGAGGTTTAATTTCTAGCAAGATATGCTTTCGCTTTCGATCCTGAAGCAATGAGAATATTAAAAATTGAATTTTTCTTTCAGCGTTTCTCTACGGAATTTCCATTTGTGGTGGTTGATGGTTATTTCAACAGTTTTCCCAAGGAGATAAAATATTATTATATAAAATTATAAAACAAAAAAATTATAATATAAAATTACATATTCCAAGGAAATAAGCAATAACGTGGCAAGGAAACTCTTTCTCTCTCTCTCTTTCTCTTTTGCTCTCTTCTCCCTTTTCCTTCATTCTCTCTCTTTCTTCTTTCTCGCTCTCTTCTTTCTCTCTCTCTCTCTCTCTCTCTCTCTCTCTCTCTCTCTCTCTCTCTCTCTCTCTCTCTCTCTCTCTCTCTCTCCCTCGATGTACATGTATGTCCCTCTCTTTCTGTCTGTCCTGGAGACCAAATCTTAAGTGATGTATGTAAAAATAAAACGTCAATCAATCAATCTCTCTCTTCTCTTTTCTCTCTCTCTCTCTTTCTCTCTCTCATTCTCTTTGTACCTTTAGCCCTCGATGTACATGTGCCTCTCTTTCTGTTTGTCTCTATGCTTGAGGCATACGTTCTATTTGGAGAAGTATGGCGATCAAAAAGGAACATCAAAGAAAGAGATAGAGAGCTAGACATAGAGGTTTTATTGTGATTAAAATACTATTTTTACTATTGTCCACATTTATTTTATGTGAGTATAACATGACAAAACAATGGACCTCCGGACAAACACTAATATAATTTTATCTATTAGTTAGTTTTAATAAAATTTTGTTAATTACGATTTATACCTCGCAGTTAACTTTTTGATAGTTATAACCCCATGTTTTTCATTTTATATTTCAAAGCAAACCTTCATAATTTCACAATCGCATTGTATCAAAACTATGTTGAAATTTTCAAAACAGCGTGCAGCCGTATCAATTCGCACTACACCACGGACAATGCGAGGAAACAATTTAATTAATTACAGAAAAAACTAACAGAAATAGGAGGGCGGAAAGACATCAATTCCGCACGTTGACATAATCTACTTCATGTTCGTTTCCCTCAAGATACGCTTGATGAAACAAAGACTGAAGGGAAAGTAGATGTCATTTCGGGACAGCCTGATGAAAGTAAATTATTCACAATAGTTTTTTGACGAGGGAATTTTTTTATATTTGTTTATTTATTTATAAGTATTGTCGAAAAGATTTTCGGACTTCCTTCTACAATAAGGAAAAGCAGTACTACTTTCTTTCAAACAGCTTGCCTTTAAAACTTTCAGAAAGTTCAAA